TTCAGTGTTGACCTCATACTTGCAAAACAATGTATTAGAACCTTTAATTGGAATTAAATATTATATTGAATAAGCCTGTTTTCATATACAGCCTACACAATCCTACCATACCACATCTGACAATACAGACCTCAGCAGTTGATAAAGTGTTGTAAAATAATTTAATAAATAATAATTGTGATCTTTGCAGTACTTATCAAATGTAGAGGTTTTCACCTTTTCCAAGTGAAAAGACAAGAAATCAAAAGTACATGACCTTTTTGTTTATGTGGATGTAACGTCACTATTTGGCTTTTTATTTTAAAATAGTAGTGACATGGGAATGGACATTTTGAATAATGGACTAGTGTGATGATAGAGGCAGTAAGCACCTCTGAAACATGTTAATTTTTACACGACTGAGTGGTACAACATCCTCATAATTGCCACCGAGAACCTAAAATCTCACAAAGGATTTTGTATTCCAAGAAACACTTGGGTAGACACTTCTTCACCTACTACAAATGGGTCTTTAGGCCGTTTTATATTGGTGATCTCATATGAATTAACATTCAGATGAGATTCTTTGCCAAATAGTTTTCCACTGCATATTAACCACATAGTAAAAACTGAGCATAAGAAAAAAAAGTATGAATGAATATGATATAATTTTCCATTATGCTTTTGTTATCTAAAGCAATGATTTTTCCAATATGACTTGCAGTGCTGATGAGAAAATTGATACCAGGAATTAATAGTTTGAAAACTATTTAGAACAGTTTAGATCTACACATATATTTAATGACACGTCTGCTATGATGGTGTCTCGTATATCTGGTTGGTATATGCATTCAGTGCTAATGCTCAAGAAATCCCTTTGGTAAACAGAAAATTAATCAATTGAACCTCCACAGCATACACTCCTGAAATGGTAATGTCATTTTTAAATGCAGTTTTCTACACGAAATTACTGCCACATACCGACTACTACGTGAACATCTGCCCTGCTAGTTCATGTTGCCATGTTCACCATTCAGACTCCAATGAAGACGTGTCTAAAATACATTTAAGTGGGAGAACTAGTATAGATGACATGTTCCATATTAAAATTTAAATTCTTCTTGAAATTGGCAGTTGCCGCAGTTTTTTAAAGTAAAAACACCATTATGAGTGTTTGCTTCTTAAGAATTTTACATAACCACGAAGTACAGAAATAGAGATTCTTCTGAAAACTGGAATAACATACATACATATCTTCATTAACTTGGTAACAAGATATAAAACAAATACATGTGACTTCCTATAATAAATATTTTCATATAAACAAGACATATCTCACTAGAACAAAAATACAAAGTCTCTTCCTTTTAAACATAAATCTTCAGTGTTCTTCTCACTACTTGTCGACACACTGGGCACGTCCCAAGTTCACTCCGTACAACGGTACAACATTCCATGCACAAACACAGATGTCGACATGGCAATATAATGACGCATTTTCTTCTGTCCTGACATACAACACACAGCTTACTTTCTTGTTCTTGTTCTAACTGGTGGAGTAAGTACTGCCTTGTGGCATTTGTTTTCCCTTGTTCAACTCTCGTTACACAGCGGGAACGCAAATTTATTGTAGGACTGTGTGACGACCCATGTGCCAGACTATTATCGCTTCCTGTTTCGTCACCTGAGTCTTCATTTTCTGAAGGTTCTTCATTCTCATGTTCATTGTTCTGATTGGTGAATATTGAGAGCAGTAACATTTCTAAACTAGTCCATGCAGAATGCAATGCATATTTCATTTGAACACAGAGATTTGCAAAACAATGTGTTATATGAGTATGATACTTCATACTAGCAAACATTATACATGTCCCCAATATTAATCCAGCTTGTGCTTCAAAAGGCATGTCATGCAAGAATTGAATAATTCCATACAGGAAACATAAAATCCCTCTAAATATAGATCCTGCCAAAGACATTATTTCCTCACAGCTTCGTCCAATAAAAAACACACACATGCTAATGCCATATACAAATCCAAGTGGGATGAGCTTGAATGCTAACCAGATGCCTGATCCAATCAACGTGATGAAATTCTTTAACATTTCTGGAATACTTGAGATACAATGTATTGTTTTAATCACTATTACGTAAACTGTATTCATTGTCAATAACATAAATTCGTATATTACTAAACAGATGTTTTTTGTTATTTCCCACCAGTTGCACACTGTGCTTATAAACCATTCAATTACAGATGCTATGGCACTAGCAATATACAGGCCTTTATTTATTACGTCCAATAGAAAAATACAGTAATCTTCATATAATATTTTGACGACATCTATTATTGTTCCAAAGATAGAGTAAATAAAAGTGATGCACATCAACATATATTTCACAATAAGCCGTCCAATTAAGCCACTAATATTTAAACTAACGTACGCTATTTTACCGAACGTATTAAAGCCGATTACGATCAACTGAAACAATGTCTGTAAGCCCACCATTGTTTCGTTTGTCTGCTGGCTGTTTTATAGGGTCCCAATATTACGGTAATAACGTTAAATGGTTTACACTGTCTAAGGCGACGACTTCTTGCATCTTATATTCTGTCACACATGTAGATATACAGACTTAACGAGAAGCACCCGTGTAACCTGCCTTGGTCCAACGTATTTGAATAATGAAACAGTTGAGTGTTAAAATTTATTTCTTGTGCTTTCAGAAATCTGGCACTTACGAACACTTTGTCTTTCGTCGTTGATGTTGTCTATACTGTATTCAAATCCGAATGACTGTTCATTGTTTTGGGGGGGTGGGCCTGCGGAACAAGTGGAAAGGATGATTGCTTTTCATCACTGAAAAGTACATTTCATCAGAATATAATGGCTTATAGGTTGTTGTCAACAGCAAGGAAGCTGGAGCGTTTGTTGTGGAATGGGGTGAAGCGAGAAAATATTGATACAAATTTGGTAGGTGTAATGATAACTTTTCCGTACAAGTAAGAAAAGCTATTTCGAGGTTAGAATAGTACCTTCAATTCTGAGTGGCGTATTTACAATCCATAGATCCTTCACAGGACTAATGAAACATTGTATCAAGTATGTTTCAAGGTAGTCCTATAATTAATTGTTGTATCCGGCATCATAAAATCCATAATTTTACGATAAATGCTGTTGTTTTAACCGATATTTGTCATACAAAAGATAAGAGTATTTTAGGGACATGTCAGAGATCCATACTGTCTCTATCTTTAAGTTCTTGTAGATAGAGGCACGTAATTGCTTACATTCTAACTTGTGCATTGTGTGTCACGTATTTTTGCATGTAGAAGGTTATTACAGCTTTGTCTTTGTTCTTACAGCCATATTATAATTTACATTACCTAATAATTGCTTTTACAGCTTAAGAGGAATCTTACGTTATTACGAAGGGCACCTGGAGGCCCTTATTTTGAAACAGTTTTGCATCAGTGGAGATTGTTTTGTGAGCGACCTCCAAAAGGGTTTGAAAAATTCTTTAAACCTGGAAGTAGTAAGCCAGCTACAAAATCTGGCAAGTCACCTGTTAAAGAGGTAAAAGATGCTCCAAAGGAATCTAAAACACCGCCTCCATCTAAAGGAGCATCAGGTCCACAGCCATCCAAACCATATGATAATTGGTCATTTGGGATGTTTAGTGGCCAGTCTAGGTAAGATGTAGGAATTTACATTTTTTTAGGTTCATGTTTGTGGAATGTTGAAATGAAGATATGGGGTTAGATTCATCTTTCATATTTATTATGAACCGAAACATATTGATTGGAAGTGTCTTCTGTCTGAAGGTGGCTGTCTTCTGGGTTATTGTGCCGTGTAGTCTGGTAGATTTCTACCAACGTTTCAGAGGTCATACTGCCTCCAACATCAGGGCAATGAATGAATTCATTATATTGCAAGTAACATATCTGCTTCCATTTCCATTAATATTTTCCAGATTATTTCATCAAATGCAAATCACAGTGTCTATCATTCTCTTAGCTACTTTGTAGGATTTGAGGTTTTCACAGTGGTGAGTCTGAAGATTGTTGTCTTCTTGTTAGCTACTTGATTTGCAAATTTTTTTTCAGTGGTCATGAATGTGACATTTTACAAAAAAGTAATTAAAGTCTATGTTATACATTATCATTAATGTGGAGTATGTGAATTTAATAAATATGTTTACATTGATTTCAGGTCCAGTGGACCTGGAGGCAAAGCTTTCGGAGAAGGAGGAGAACGAGAAAAGTGGATAATTATAGGCGTGGTCGGCACTGTGGCACTTCTGGGTACTCTGGCATATTATGAGATGGGATATAAGGAAATTGCCTGGAAGGAATTTGTAAATAAGTAAGCTTGGATTTATATTTATTAATGTAATTTAACACTACAGTTCATAAACTGTAGTTGTATAAAATAAGCTGAAGGGTAACACATAAGATAAGGGACTGTAATTTGGTAGTAGTTGACATATGTTTGATAATCTTTGTTTCCCGTTATTTTCTGGGAGACTTCTGTTTGTGGTGAAAAGTAAATTGTATTTGTGTGTATCAGTGGGTATGGAATTCTTTGTACATTGTCGTTTCAGTTACCTGGCCAAAGGCATTGTGGAGAAACTGGAAGTAGTGAACAAGAAATGGGTAAGAGTACGTCTCATGTCAGGGAATACCGTTGATGGCTCGGTGAGTGTTGTTCCAGATTCTTGCTGGCTGTATAGTTTCTGTCACTCATTTTTGTTTAATATTTAAAATTGTCATTCAGTGTTCACATATCTGTAGTGCAGTGTCTTTGCATAAAAAGCTACTATACATGGTACTATAATGCATTAATTGGTTATATGATTGTGATTCTGTTAAGAGGTGATGTTAAGAATAATGCTTATTAATGTCCAATAGCATTACAGTGTATGTAAAGAGACAGATGGGAAAATTTGTACTCTTCTTATATTTATATATTGATGTCTTTGATAAGACAGTATTTTATTCTGTGTCTCAACTTGGATATGGTTTAATTGGTCAGTTGTACATTTTATTTAATAATTCTCATTTCAGAGTGTACTGTGGTTTAATATTGGGAGCGTGGATTCATTTGAGCGAAATCTAGAAAATGCACAGATTGAGATGAATGTGGAGCCACCAAATTTTGTTCCTGTTATTTATAAGACTGAACTGGAGGCAGCAAGCATCACTGGAATCCTCCCAACATTATTAATTATTGGTAACGTCTTTGTTTACAGCAATGTATGTTACTGCATTAAACTTAAGTAAGATGAAAGTTTGGTTGCAGTATAATTTATAGATTCAACATTTCCAGGTGGCATAAGAGAAGTAATCAGAAAATGTTCTGAGTAATTTTTGTTGTCATGAGATGAACACTACAGTTGGGTGGTTAGTGATGGGCTGTGATGTAACATATATAAAGCACTCAGACTATGCTAGATGTGTTACAAAATGAAATGCATAGCAGTGATATATATTTCACTTATTTTTCAAATCAAGAAGTAAAAAAATACCTCTGTCATTATATAGACAGTAATAGAAAGTATATAACTTACTGATATTTCACTGTACAATAAAGTAAAGTAAAGCCGTCCCGCTACACACCATGTAGGTCATTTGTGGGGAGTGAAGATATAGTTCCTACTCTTTCTTGACCTCAGCACTAGATGGGGTCGAGCGGCCAGCATCCCTCCCCAGCCACGCTTTATCCCTGGGAAAGGACCCCGGTACGCGTCGGGTGGGCCCCAGAGCCGGTCTGACGCAGAGGCTAGAGGAAAAATTCTCTGCCCACGTTGGGGATCGAACCCCAGTTGTCCAGCCTGTACTAGTCATTATACTGACTGAGCTATCCCGGCTCCTGTCACTGTACAATACAATCATAATTCCAAAGCAAGAGTAAACAATATTATTGAAAAATATTGACTACAGTTTTATTGCAAGTTAGAGCAATATTTATGTGAATTTGTATAATTAAAGGCTTCTGTTATCATGCCCAAGCACTGCCTAATGAAGGCAGTTTGTTGTATTGTTCTGTTGGTGATTTTTGGTGATACGCAAACTTCATTATTGTGTGAGATTTCAGGTTTTCACTGTGCTGAGTATGAAGATGGCTGTCTTCTGGGATGTTGTGTGATTAGTCTGGTGGAAATTGACCGACATTTCACGTCTGAGATGTCAGTCAGTTTCTACCAAACTGCACAGTGCAACATCCCAGAAGACAGCCATCTTAAAGTTAAGTGTAGCTTGTAATTTGTTAATCACTGGAGCGCGATCACCTTCTGGAACTTGTACTTTCTTTCCAGGGTTCCTAATTTATATGATGAGACGTTCTGCAGAAATGATGGGTGGTCGTGGTCGAAAAGGCGGAGGTATTTTTGGTGGAGTAATGGAGTCCACTGCTAAGCTTATCAACTCTAATGACATTGGAGTCAGATTTAAGTATGTGTATTGCGACATTTTCTTGTGAACTGGCCCTATGAAAGTTGGTAATGGTAATATGTTATTTCTTATGCCAATGTTATTCATATTAACTGCATAGTGAACTTTTCTCTCTTTGAACGTACATATTCCAATAACTGTTGTCATGTAGATGAGGTTCTCTGGGAACAAGCCCCCTTCATAAGGAATGTGTGAACTGACGTTGGCACCAAATGTGATTTTTTATTGTGAATTTAGCTGAAGTGATAGATAAGATTTTAATGCGGCACATTAGCAATTGAGACATTTTATGACTTCTTATTCATTGCTGTTGTTGGAGTAATGCCTTATTTTAGAGACCAAAATAGGTAAAAGTTGTATCTGCTGTCTCTCTCCTTCCTTAGCTTCAGGTCCATGTGCTCATTAGTCTCTCCACATCTGTCCTTCATTCAACACACTCTTTTCTTTTGGTTTTATTTCCATTTTGACATCATTATTTTGTGTGATTTAGCTTCCTTCATTTGCTTCACGTGGCTGAATTATGTCATATATCTTTAAATATATCAGCTTATACTTTGTTATTCATCATTTCCTCATTTCAGAATCATAGGATCAGATTTTCATAATGTTTTGCCATGAAATTTCTGTGTTATGTACTTTGAAAGGGAAATATTACATAATTACATATGGTGATTATGTGTGTTGTAATGATTTCTCCTTAGGGATGTAGCAGGCTGTGAAGAAGCAAAACTGGAAATTATGGAATTTGTTAATTTCTTGAAAAATCCTCAACAGTACATAGATTTGGGTGCTAAGATTCCAAAGGGTGCCATGCTAACAGGTACACTTTAATTCTCAAGTCAATTTTATTCAGTGTGTACAATAAATAAAGCAAATAATGTCTTCAGTAACTGGTTATGAATGTATTTTTACTTAAATGTGTGTGTGGCCTGTCTTCTGTTAAATTTTATTAGTGCTTCAAAGTATGTGGTACATGGTTCAGTTTATGAACACATTGGTTATTTGAAATCTTAATGTTGTTTTGAAATATGTGAAAGAAATAGTTGAATGTCAGAATATGTGTATGAAATTTAAATAAAATATATTTGAATGAAGTCCACAACACCCAGTGTTGTGTGCAGAACATGATGTCGGCAAAATTGATTGATTTTTCTGTTTGAAGTTATGACTCATTAGGAAATTCCATTTTTGTGTGTTTGTATTACCTGCTAAGATTTTACAATGTTAATTCAGTGTTACATTGATTTCCAGGTCCACCTGGTACAGGGAAGACGTTGCTAGCCAAAGCAACAGCAGGAGAAGCCAATGTGCCATTCATTACTGTTTCTGGCTCAGAATTCCTAGAAATGTTTGTGGGAGTTGGGCCATCAAGGGTAAATTGGTTCTCGAGTTTTAAATTGTTTATTGCAATGTAAATAATGTTTAGTTGTCAAGTTTGAACAGTGAGAGTTGTAGATTAATGAATTATATTTGCTTTTATTTGTACTTGTGTTTAAAGTTTACAGTTAATTATATCTGTAACAGTCCTTGAGAATCTACTAGTTGCTCAGGTAGTCAAATTCTCTTGTCTCTTCATTTTGAACTGTCCACGTCACATGTAAAATTATATAATTATGTTATTTAATAAAATACAAGAAAGTAATAATAAAATTAATAATGTTCTTGTGTACTTGGCGTGCAAGAGAATATGTCTATAATTTTTGTACAAACCATTTTCAGGTTTCACCCCAGTACCACAAATATTTTAGGTTCTGAATGTGTTGATGTATTTTCCAGGTTCGAGACATGTTTTCAATGGCCCGTAAACATGCACCCTGCATCTTATTTATTGATGAAATAGATGCAGTGGGCAGGAAACGTGGTGGTCGCAGCTTTGGTGGTCACTCCGAACAAGAAAACACTTTGAATCAGTTATTAGTTGAAATGGATGGTAAGCCCATAACCTTGTAAAGTATTCTTCATGGCATAGTCGTCTGAATAAAGTCAGTGTTTAGCTGAAGTCTCTTTATTTATAAGCCCCATGATGTGCTTAAACAGATATGTAAACGAGAGGTTTTACGGCATAAAATGTCACAATTTAGACCCACATACTTGTACATTTGATGTTTTGCAGGTTTTAACACCACCACCAATGTCGTGGTTCTGGCAGCCACAAATAGGGTTGACATTTTAGATAAAGCTTTGCTTCGTCCAGGAAGATTTGATCGGCAGATCTTTGTGCCAGCGCCAGACATCAAGGGTAGAGCATCCATATTTAAAGTGCATTTACAGCCATTAAAAACCAATTTGGATAAAATGAACTTGGCACGGAAGATGGCGGCACTTACGCCAGGATTTACAGGTGTGTGATGTTTCTTAAATAGATGAGCATTGTAAGAGTTTAATATTCCTTAGTTCTGATTGGTCTAGCGAGAATTAGAATTTTAATTTGAATGAACAGTTTTTAATTCATTACATGTTCTTCTTTCTTACACAGGTATATAATTTGTAACCACATATTTTTATGTTTTTCAAACCCTGATAATTGTATAATATAAGGATTATTTATGAAAGATGAACATTTACAGGGATGAATTATGTATAAATAACTGAGATTGTTTTCATGTTCTGTTGTTGCCAGAGAGTAGTAAGTGCCTTCAGTACAATAAAAAAAATTGGGTTGAATTTGAATAAATGTGTGGCACAGACTGTGGGTCCATTAGATTATGTTTCATTGAGATGTTCTGTAGAATTCTGAAGTCGGGGATTGCAGACGTCTGGGCTGATGATTGGTTCTCGTCAAGTGATCAGAACTGCTGTTTTATATCTGAGAGCTTTGTATTTGATTTTCTGCTGAGAGACCGCTTATTCTGATTTCTTTCATGTGGTTTATCTGTTTTTCCAACCAAATGCTGGGACGTCTTAAAATATACCACATCCACTTCCTTCCATAGCCTTTGCAGATACATAATCATCATACCATTTGATGGTGTAAAATCTATACAGTTGAAAAAAATGTTGTAAATAAGTCAATATTATGGGTTCAGTTGTACTAAAAGTGTATGTTACCTGTACTGGGTTTCCTTTATCAGCATGTCTTGATTTGAACCTATGGAAGTTATAAGAATGAAGTTTGATTTTCACCATGTTCATGGGTGTGCTTTAATTTATCAGGTGCTGATATAGCCAATGTGTGTAATGAAGCGGCGTTAATTGCTGCTCGAGATTTAAGTGATGCCATAGGTATGAAAAACTTTGAACAAGCCATTGAGAGAGTTGTGGCTGGCATGGAGAAAAAGACAAATGTCTTGCAGCCTGAGGAGAAGAAGACTGTTGCATACCACGAGGCTGGGCATGCTGTTGCGGGATGGTTCCTACAATTTGCAGATCCTTTACTGAAGGTTAGGTTAGGTTATTGATTACATTGAAAGTCCTCTAAGGAGAATTATTCAGTGCACTTCAGTTTATTAACACTAAATATAGAGAAATTTAATTTTTACTTGACACTGTATAATTAGAGCTACTGACAGCATCATTAAATAAACTATTACACAAGTATTTATAATAATTAGAAGTTTATTTTTGAGTGTATATTTATTTTCCTCATATGTATCTCTAGTTAATCTTTAACTGCTAGTGCAACTTGGCACTTATTTCACTGATGGAAGGATAATGTTAAATAGGATGTGAGTATATGGATTAGATTTCTGCAACTCAGTGTAGGATCCAGTGACATAATCATGACAATGAAATTTTGGGTTCCTAGAAGGTAAAGTATTTTTGAGGTCTTTGAAAATTAAAATAATACAATGTGACTCATCACCCTGATGATGGAGAAAGAAAACCTCTGAAGTGTTGGTAAACTTATACCAGACTACATGGCCCTACAAGCCAGAAGACAGCCACCTGAAATTTTTCATTTTATGTTGCTGTTTATATTTTTTAAAACCTTCGTCCTGATATAAGATTTTTAACCACAGGCCTTCTTTCTTTTAGGTTTCAATTATACCTCGAGGCAAAGGGTTGGGTTATGCCCAGTATTTGCCCAAAGAGCAATATCTGTACAGCAAGGAGCAACTGTTTGATCGGATGTGCATGACACTGGGAGGTAGAGTTTCCGAAGAACTCTTCTTTGGACGGATAACAACAGGTGCGCAGGATGACTTAAAAAAAGTCACACAAAGCGCATATGCTCAGGTATGTGTATCCTAATGCAATGTGTCTTCCTGGTAATTTACACATGTATGTCACTTCCTGACAACCAGCCAGAAGCAGCCTACGTATGGTTTGGCATCACCAATTAATCTTCATACAAGTCTAGCATCACTTTATATGCGCAATAAAACTAATTTACTAGTATTATAAGAAGTTTTAAAACAGAATAGTATGTACACCTCAGTGGTCTTATGCAACTCAGCTCACAGAATGTTTATCCGTGTATCACCAATAAACACAATAAATATTCCATTATTCTTTAACACATTCATTTTAGTCATGCCTCTGATATTTCTGAATGAAAGTAGTACCTGACATTCATTTACATAAATGAAGTGACACCAACAATATCAAGCAGGAAATTCTCGTACACATACTATTTCCCTTAATATCTATGTTAGAATTATCGTCCCTTCTATGCCTAGGTCTTCCTTTTAACTAGTTTGCATAAAGGAAGGTTTGATGATGTTCCTTTTTATGTTATAATATTTATGTACTGAACTGTAGTTGCTTTTTTGTTTTTAGATTGTTCACTATGGCATGAATGATAAGGTAGGAAATATTAGTTTTGACATGCCACAGCCTGGAGAAATGGTTCTTGAGAAACCATATTCAGAGAGGACTGCTCAGATAATTGATTCTGAAGTTCGTGAGCTCATCCAGAGAGCACATGTCCACACGACCAGCTTGCTTACGGAACACAAGGAGGATGTCAGGAAAGTATGTTGCAATTTCAGCATCAGGGAAGCACGTGTGTGTGCGTGTGTAAATTAATGAATTAATTAATTACTAACCTATAATACAACTACAGATGAAACACATCCATTAAGTCATCAAAGAACCTGATTTTGTTTCCATTACATGACCTTTCAGTAAAGCAGATTTAACATGATGGCACTTTATTTCTGTTTATTGATTCTAACAAGAAACCGCGATGTTCAAGACCACAGGTTATGTGCCTCCACTTTGCCAACAGCTAAAGCATGATTTTTTTTCACTTTATTATGAGTTCATTAATACAACTGAACCTATTCAAGGTTGCAGAACGATTACTGAGCCAAGAGATTTTGAGTCGAGACGACATGATTGAACTGCTTGGACCAAGACCGTTTCCTGAAAAGTCTACTTACGAAGAGTTTGTGGAGGGTACTGGTTCTTTTGAGGAGGACACTAGTCTTCCTGAGGGGCTGAAGGAATGGAACCAGCCAAGGGATCAAGAAGGTAGCACTAAGGACGATGGAAATGCAAATTCAGAAGGACGTAATCACAAAGCAGACTCAGCAGCTCCTAGATAAGGTGAGAAGTGAAAGAGACCTCATTTCTGAGTAGTCAGACACATTTAAATATAGGTGGAAATTCGTCAGATTCTTGTGTTCTGTAGAAGGCAGGGAACTTGAGTTGCTGAGTTACTGTTAGTATCGACATGGAATTAGTTTTAACAATTTAAACTTAAATCTGTCAAATTATAGAACTTATCATTCGCGTAACATCATTATGCTGAACATTATCTATTGCCTAATAGACGCTATATTCAATACAGTATGTGATACTTTTGGAATTAGATGTATAATTTATTAGAACATAATGAAAATTACTAATTTTAAAGATTTCTGTCTTCTGGGTTGTTGTGCTGTGTAGTCTGGTCGATGTTAACCAACGTTTCAGAGGTCATACTGCCTACGTTATCAGGGCGATGAATATTCATCGCCCTGATGACATCGACCAGACTACACAGCGCAACAACCCAGAAGACAGAAATCTTCATACTCACCACTGTGAAAACCTCAAATCTTACATACTAATTTTAATTTTGACTAGTGCATTAACATACTTTGTGTTTAAATATACCAGCGTTATGAGTTAGGTTTGTAAAATTATTCAATTTAAATATTTTTATGTAACAGGTGGAATGTTTGACTCCATACTGTCATTATCACATCTGCCGTGTACTACGTTTTGTGCTGCCTCTTAAGAAAATTTGTTGGCATTTGGAGGAAAATACTGAAGTTTATTGTAGACTTGCATGGGAGTTGAATGTAGTGCACTTGAATTTGTAAGTACTGTACAATTTTAGGATTTTTCTGTGAAAATAAAAATAAGTAATTGTTTGGTTTAATTTATAACAATGTTGAACAAGGACTCAGCATAAAGGTGAACTGAATCAGATGTAGTCACATATGCATAGAAGAGTGTTATTCACAGTGCATTTAACAAACTTGTGTGTTTAGTATGACGTAAGCAAAATGGCATAGAATCAGCTCGTACTTTTACGTTGGAGCCTTGGAGAATGAATGGTCAGTGGAAAGTGTTATAACCTTCCGGCATTGCATGATTTGAATAATTACGAGTGATAAGAAATATAAATGTTAATATTTTTAAAATATATGCAACTTGCAGAGTACGCTGCTAAACAAAATCAACCAGGAAATGATTAACATGAAGTTACGTTAACATTTTGAAGTGCGGTGTCTGTGTAATATTTGTATCAAGTAAGCGAAATAAATTAATAAATAGATTTCTGGTTTTTCAAATATATACATTGATGTTTGACATCAAGTTGCCTATCTAAATTTTAAAACAGAGTAAATTAACAGATCCAGATGTGTGTCATTGGCTTATGCACGAGACGCAAATATTTCTAACCTGCAATTTAATTACAAATATTCAGCATGGAAGACATGTGACAATTGAAATTATATCAAATGTAAGTAAATTTTCAGTGTTATAATTTTTGTTAAATATAAAATTCCCATAGTGCCAACATCATGCCCCAACTGTGCAGTGAAATGCAAGCTTAAACGCGCATCACCGTCTGCGCAGGTGACAAAATTATTTTCGCATTAGTTACAATGTATTTATTTATTTATGTCAAAAGAATTTCATCTTTGACCCATAACACATCTTGCTTCCCAGTAGGGATCATAAAGTTTGCTGCTCTTGAACGGTGGGCAGTGTCATTAGTTCCAATGTTAGCCACAAGATTACGCATGGCTAAGTATCCGTATATCGATTTCTAAACCTTACTTTTCAACGATGGTATATAAAAAAATGAGTCGTACCACTTTTAAAACTCGATGTTTAACAACATTAACTACCATCCAATGCAACTCTTCCTCCGTCCCCCCAGTTAACTGCTAATTTTAACATTTTAAGATGAGGGTCTTCTGCTCTTTATGCGCTGTCTTTTGTGAGATACTGAGCAACGTTTTAGAGGTGCTTTCTATCTTTATCATCAATGTGATGGAATCGAAAAGCAGCGTTCAAGAATTGCCGCAACGTGATTGGCTGGGTGAGTGAACGTTAGTAATGGAAGCTGAATTTTTGTTGTGTAGAGCATGTATTGTCTGTCTTAAATGTGATTATTGAAATGGGTATGGGGAGAACTGAAATTGATGTGAAGTATATTAATGTACGTTAATACATGTATTTCATAGTCTGTGATCTGAATAATGATACAATCTGTTCACGTGGAATTAAATAATGTAACGTAATAGAATTTTTAAAGCGTCGTGATAAGTGTGAAGGTTAGGGTTTCAGTTTTAAGTAACTATCAGTGTAGTAGGACGGAGGTTGAGATATTTGAAGTGCGTCGACTTGTAAGATGTCGTGAGAAGATTCACATTTTTTAATTTGCCCTTTAATCCATTGCAGGAAGTTAATGACCGCAGAATTGTTTTACACGAGGATTGAGGTATGCCCGTCAGCAAATGTTTCTATCAAATGTAGAGTTTGTTTTGAAATTAAACTCAGTGCTCAGTATGTGACTGTTGTCTTCTCATTCTTTCCTGCTTTGTTGCCTGACATTTAGTTTATAATGTTCAAGGAAAGTGAATGTTAAAAAGACTGCAAAGAAGAATTTACTCTAATCCTTGATGAGCATTTTAAAAATTTGAAAATTGTGTTTATTGCATGATAACATTGATACTTATTTCCAGATTGTATGTGCATTTACCTGAAGATGGATTCTGATATTCTGTCCCATCTGATCCCTCAAGGAAAGGAAACTGTACGCCCAGCTTGTAAGAAATGTGGTTATGCTGGGCATCTGACATTCCAGTGCAGAAATTTCATCAAAGTAGATCCAAATAAAGAGATTGTACTTGATGTAAGCAGCACCAGTAGTGACAGTGAAGACGAGTACTTGACACCACTTACAGAACTAAGGGAGAAGGAATTAAAAAGTAAATTGAAGAAAGCAAAGAAGAAAAGAAAAAGAGCAAAGAAAGAGAAGAAGAAATCTAAATCTCGTGATCGTTCACGGTCTAGATCTAGAGATAGTTGCAGTGATGATCATGATGATAGGAAAAAACATAAAAAGCATAAGAAGCATAAGAGAAAGAAAAAAAATTCTCCTTGTAAAGGACACGGTAAAGAAAAGGGTTCAACTTCAGAAGATTGACATGACAATAATTAAAATGTCTGTGGAAAGTTCATTGATATACTGTAAAACCTTCAAATATGTAAATAAATGACAAATATTTCATTATAATTTGTTATATGTTGTGTGAATTATAGTTCTGCATTGCCGGTATGAACATTTTCGAGTGACCGAACAATTATAGTTAAATTGGAAACTGACTTACAGATAGCGGAATTCATATCAAATACACTAAAAAAGTAAGCAAAAAACAAGGAACTGTTTATTTCTGAAACTGTCTTCAATAACATAACACAAATCAAAATGTACATTGCATTAAACAAACAAATAACCCAGAAGACGGAAATCTTCAAATAAATAAAATGTTTTGAAGCATTCACAATGCTTAGTCTCCAGTATCTAGTACTGAAAACTTGTTACAAACTCCAAATACTGCTTTTAAATCACCGTCTTCAGGTTCAGAATCTGTCTCTAATTTAGCATCTTCATAACTCAGTTGATCGCCTGCCTCGTTCCTTCCTTCCTCCGTGGCTCTACGGTCCTCTGAGGACCTTGGCCTCCCTACGCCTGCCTCCTGTACTTTCCAATTTACCTCTTCTTCCTCTGATGCTGATGATGTAAATTCAGTCTCTCCATCTGCTGCTGCTGCTGCTGCTTGTTGTTCACCTGTCTTACCTTGAATCCAGTGAACAAGCTTAACATCCTTATGCGGTCTTACCTTGAATCCAGTGAACAAGCTGAACATCTTTATGCTTATCCCAAAACCCTGGAAAAGAGCATAAAGACTATTACCTTTGCATACACTTTCTACAAAATCATTAGTACTTCTCGAGCAAGGCCCTGTTCCTGTCACCACAGCAACACGGAATAACTAAATCTGAGCTGTTCCAGTCTTTATGGGCATAAAGGACTGGTTTTAGTGAGCAGGACAATGATAACCTAAAAACAGGAATATATTATTATCATTAAAGCCAAATATAAAATTGTCCAAGTTGGTGCACCGTGAATTCCTTCGATAACAGAGATTTATGTGACGAGGCAATTCACATCTGCCTTGTGTTCACAGCTGAAATCTCTGATTTTCAGTATTTCCTTTGTTTGGGTTGATGAGTTCCACCAAAGTACAGTTAAGTAGAAACATTAGGACCATCAATAGAAAAGGAAATTAGGTGTAGAAATTTCAAATGACAGTGATTCTGATAATAATGTTATGCCAAAACTATTGAGACATTTTGGAATCATAAGAGCTCAGCACTGTTCCTAAAATAAGTCACTTTTTGATGGAAGCAAGATGAACTTGTCTTCAGCTACAAGAGCAATGTGTGCCAACATTTTACGCTTCAGAAAACACTGATATAATAGCACCTTTAAGAGTCTGCTGATTAGCATTTTTGTCATGCTAATTATGGTACGGGAAAGACAACTTCTGTAGATGATAGACGGTAAGAATCATATGTTATGAGCAATCAATAATCTGTACATAACTGTATACCTGTCTTTTTTGTTCATATTAGTGCAGACAATCTTTATTACAGATCTGAAAGAACTTCTATAAAAATCGATGCCTTTCAGCCAAGTTAAAGTTTTCAATACAGTTGCCTTTACAGATCTGAAAGAACTTCTATAAAATTCGATGCCTTTCAGCCCAGTTAAAGTTTTCAATACAGTTGCCATGCTCACCTTTCTTATTAGAATATTCAGGAGGATAGAGACACAAGCAGATCTTGCCATCTAATGCCATGCGTAAGAGGCTATTAGCAGCACGATACGAGTCAAGGCGAGCTGCTCGAGCTGTGTAGAACCCACGGTTCAGAGCCCAGCCTATTTAAACCAAGAAACAAATGGCCTTAATACAATATCTGGTGCATGAGGATTCTTTAAACTAGAAATGGAAAGTTAACAAATGCTAATTTTGAAAGTCATCTTGCAGAATTTAATGTAATTTGTAGTAAGCTGCTCTGAAATGCTGGTCAATATGTACCAGACTACATGGTGGGATTACATCCCAGAACGCTGTCACAGCAAGAACCTTATTAAAGTAAAAAAGTTGGAGAGCAGAAGAAAGTTTTTAAGAATGCAATGAAGTACTATGGATGTTAATGATCACTTCTTTTGCATTATTACCTTAAGTGTTGCAAGTATAATACAACAGTAACAGATTGTTGGTTTATAAAATACCGTCACAGATATCCATGGCAGACCATTCATCATCTTGGTCTGGGTGTTGCAGCTTCAACAGATTGGGCAAGTCTATTCTTTCAGCCAAGTACTGGACTGCAGAAAAGGGTTCTCTCAGCTGTGCAATTGGGAAACTTCCCATTAGTACCTGAAACATGTTGATTCTCAGATGTTAGGAAAACCAACAATTTTTTATCTGCATATATTACATCACCAACTGCAAGACTTCGTCCAGTATCGTAAGAACTTACGCGAGGATCCAAAAGAAACAGACATCACAGGTGTCATATGAATATAATTTGGACATGTTGCCACTTTTTCTCGAACCCTTGAACAAGCATGTCCATATATCTTGCTCTCTGTTCATTTATTCAAATGTCAAGGGAAATAAAAAGTGCTGGAAGTTATGTCGTCACAAGATTACATTGCAAGTACACACAAAAACTTCTGATCAAGGTAATAAAACTGGAACAAAATGTATCCACAGTGTTTACGAACATGGAAGTCATGCAACTATTTGTGGTAGGAGCCAGTAGTCCCACTTACTGTAGGATCCTTAAATTCTATGCTGTAATCAGTCTTCAAGAAAATATGCAACTTTTGTTCCTGCAGTCTTTTATGTAGAATGCAGCTGCACTAAAATTTATATCTAGCTTTCTATTTGACAGTATTCTTTTTGTTTTTTAACCTTTTGTGTGTGAATTTTTATATACCTGAACAGTCTTTGGGACTTTTGAAGGGAACACAAGGCCCGGACAATCACATAGCCTGACATTTGGAGTTAGGTAGATGGTCTGGAAATATTTTGTGTGTCCTGGTGTCCTAGAAACACTCACAACCTGGAACAAGAGAATGCAGACTAGTATTATTCTCACGCTAATAAAACAATAAAATAATGAAGTATATGCTATAATTAAGAAAGCCTGCTAAAAGACAAACTTGTACATTTATACCATTAAGGAGTCAGCTCCATTCCTTTCTTCTTCTATGAAAACATCATATCAGCTGAGGTGTAGCAACTTATTTCTTCTTACCTTTTTTCCCATAATTGCATTCATAAGTGATGACTTCCCCACATTTGGCTGGCCAATGCAGCCTATTGTTAAGGTTCCATCTCTGTATTTCTCATGTTGAACATAGCTGGTGTCCACTTTCTTCATCTGAAACAAATTATGATATGATACACGCATATGATCAGTTTGAATTTTCATTTTGGAGAAACATGTTTGTTGTAACTCAACACCCATAAACATACCGTATCTGGCTACAAAGATCCTGATTTAATACTGGAAGTCTGTACTAATCACATAAAATTAATATATAACAATGTTTCCATTAACACTTTATATCAAATTGCAGATTTGCAGTTTACCAGAACACAGGTATACAGATACCTTAAAAAAAGTGAATTCAAAACATCGAAGTCTTCTATAATGCAGAAATATGAATGAGAAAATAAAGCATAAATATAGGCTACACACCAACGTGAAGCATATTAATTTAATGATCTCTGTAAATATGTCTATTCCCCGTAAAAAAACAAACTGGAGTCCAATGATCTCTGTAAATATGTCTATTCCCAGTACAAACAAACTGGAGTCATGCTGCAAAATGGAAAATTCATGAAGGAAAGGATATAACTTCATACTCAGTAACACTTACTTCAATAGTCTCACCCACTTCAACATATTCATCATCAAATCCCAGTTCCATTTCTTCTGATATTTTCTTTTGCCATGAACCCAGATCAACTAGAAATAACAAATGGGGGAAAAAAGGTTCGTAATCATAAGCAATTCCACAGACTGTCATAACAAAATATGTTCAGGTTGTTTACTTTGTAAGAGTTATGATGAAATGCAATAACAAAGAAACTCTGCTATATGCAGATGGATGGACAGACAGGCAACTAATAAAAAGTAAATGTGCTGAAATAATGTCACTAATGTATGAAAAATAAAGTGTGCCATGTTTGAAAATGTAGATAAGGAATCACTATATTAAAAAAAAACTTTACTCAAATGTGGCTAGTCCTGAATGTGGCAGATTACAAAATTCTGGTTAGCAAACTGATTTTAATCTACTACAACACGAACCTTCACTATTGACGATACTCTTGCATGCTTCAAGTAGCATCTTTGCACCCTCAGCTGCCATCCGAAGCTTCCCTCGTCTACGGCGTATCTGCAGGCCTAAAAACAGGTATTCACCAAGATTCAAGTTTTCTATTTCTGCAACAGCAGTAACTTTCTTTGTTACTGTGAAACGATAAAGAAACTGACTCAAATAGAAATTACATAATATAACAGTAAAGGACTTAAAGAAATTAATCTCCCTTTATTAGCAAAAATTACAATCAAAACTGAAAACAAACCAAAGATATTTAATGTTGGTAATTCATTTAAAAAATGGAAAACCTAAGACATATAAATTATCTGATTGTATTAATCTGGTTATTTCTTAGTCCCTTAACTTCAATTGCAAATCAATGTGCCTTTGTAAACTTTTCCTTTGTAAGTAAGTGAGAGTCGCATACCAGCCTTGTTCTCCTGGTTGCCCCTCAGATTGTACACAGTGAATGACGTGAAGGTCAAAATGTGAAGAGCAGGGTACTTCTCCTTAAAGTAATACTTCCAAGCAACAACTACTGGAGCTGGTGCCAAGTCAATTTTATTCAAAACCAGGATCATATCTTTGTGCAGTATCTCCGTCACATAGTTATAAACCGATGGAGGGAACATGAGTGCCTGCAATGGCGTTAAATTCATTACACATATAAACTGTGTCAGCTAACATAGGTATACCTGCTGCATTCTGTTCTTTGTATGACATGCATGAAATGAGTAAAGAATGGTGCTTTTGTGTCCAGACGGATATGTATTCGTTATCTTTGGAACTAGGCGTGAATTTAATATAATTTTCATAATTATCAACTACCGGCCTGCTTTGACTCAGAAGGAATCTTTCATCATATTCCAGGACATCTGAATCTCCATAAAACATTTTTATGCCTGAAATTATTCAGAGCGGTTAGTTAAGAAGCATAGACTTACACAGAAACGTATGTCAACAATGACGAGAACAATATCTGACATTTCAAGAACTCTCCATAGCTGTCTCCATGTCTCCAAGTTTAATTCAAAATAACTAAGCTCTTTCCAACTGAATTTCTTCTTTAATTCTGATACATATTCCTGAAACAGAAAATAATATTTTTTCATTGATGCAGATAATTTGTTTCATATGTGAGTACCAGTTTTTAATTTCTGTATGAAATAAAAGCAAAAGTCAGGAAATATAAAAATTTATATTTAATAATATTGCATCAAACACAGAGCATATGTGCATGAATGAAATATAAAAAAGCTTCTGAATGGAGAGTTATAATAAACAGCCCTTTACTGTTCTGAATTTATCTGACAAATATGAACAAGCAAATTACATCAGCAATCAAAGATAAGAACAAAAACTGCCAGTCAATAGAAGTAAAAATACACATTTCTTTTATTGCACACATCAAAACATGATAGTTTTTCTGAGGTCACTACTACTAATACAGAAAATTGATAAAATATTAATTTTGTCAGAAAGTTTCATGATCTGATCCATGTATCTTTACTTATCAGTCTTCCATTACACAAGATTATTTAAAAAACAACAACAAAAATCTAAGATTAAACATGGTATTTACCCTGAAGTACTTATGTTCCCCAGCTTCCAGCTCGTCTATACTCATGGCAAAGTTCCATGCCGGTCGTTTGGGAAAATCAAGTTCTTTCAGGAAGAAGTCCTCAATAACTACCTCCAACCCAGAAGCTGGCACAGGGATAATGGATTTACGAGCTTCTTCCTTCCGTTCGCATATCTCTGCCTCAGTCTCGCAATGGAATTGGAAGGCATACCTATGATAAATATGTATATAAAAAAACATTTATTATTATACAAAATAATGGTTACAATGTGAAATAACAATTCTTAAATATAAGTCAGCAATAATGGCCTACCGGTTAGGATTTGCTCTGCTATGTCGTGTCACCGGTTGCTGATTCAGATTTATAATGTCACTGCTACCTCTATACTCTGATCCATCTGTAACTTTCTTAGATGGAATTCCTATAGGTAACAACAGAAAATATAATTTAAAAAAAAAGCAAAATTAGAATCGATAACTAAAAGATATAAAAATACACTTATATTTAGAATTCTTACTTGGTTTGTTCTGGCCTGTACTGAGTTTTTGGTTAATATTATTTTCACATTTTTTACTACCACATTTTCTTGTGACAAATCTGCCAATTTTTAAGGGGATTACTTGTAATATTTCTTTTATGGAAACTGTTTCCAACAAAGGGCACTACACTCAACACAACTTGTGTAAGAACTAGGCAACACAGTGCCTTTGTGGCAGACTCTGTCAACAAATGAAGTCCACACAAAACTCATTTGTGCAATGAGTAGGGTGAGGTACCTTCTTCGACATTCTTGTTAACACCACCAGCAAAAGTAACTTCCACTACCATTGTCACTAATTTATGTTTCCAAGTTTCAAATATAAGTTTATTGTCATACTTTAACTAATTACTAAAACATACTCAATTATGGATAATGTCATATGAACAATTATTTTATGTTTCAATTTACATATTCAGCTTTCAATAATCATTCTTATATTCAAAGCCCCATGGTGTACTGGGAAAAAACTTGCAACAAACCAGTTGAGAACTGCTGGCCTATCCTATGTAGGGGTATTGACACCAGATACTGCAATTAAAATTACGCTATCCTGATTGGGGTTTTCGTGGATTTCCTCAGTCCCTCCACACCAATGTTCCTTAAATTAGGCCATGACCGCTTCCTTCAACATCCTTTTTTAATTCATTGTTCACGGTCATACCTAATTCGACGCCATATAGTCTGAGCGTCGTCAAATAGACTGTAAATAAACGAAATACATCCTATTCGTGCAAAACTACTCACTTTCACTAGTAACTACAAGTGGTGTCTTTTGCTGTTTTTTGCCTTTAAGCTGTGCCTTCTTTGCCTTTCCACTAAAAGGAACTTTCCTTCGTCCTTGTGGCATCTTCTTACGATTTTTGGCGAAGTATGATACCGTTGCTTGGATATCTTTCCGTAATCACACATCACAAACTACAGACACAATCAACACAACCAGCTATTGAAAACTAAATAGTTCTCGAGTTTTCCGCTTTAATGTCTTTGGTATTACAAGTTTCAAACACGCAGACAAACCACTACATTATATGTTACGCAGTGAATGTGCCATGCATTTCATCATCAAAATCCATTGCAGTTTTAATTAAAGATTTGATCACATTTTACTCCATAGGTAGTCATGTTAAATTTCTTGTCCTATATTTGGATACACCTTAATTACGCCCATCACAATTTTGTGTAAGCTATAGAAGGGAAAAGCAGTATTTAAATTACGTCATGAACCCAAATGCATTTGCAAGATATCGAGTTTTCAGGTTTTATACCCCACATCCAAAATGCTACGAAGCCTAAAAGTGACTACATTAACAAATAACACAAGTCCTCTACTTCTATATGAACGAACGTGTATGGCCAGTGTTCTGATATCTGGCAGATGTGAATTAATGAATAAATTTTATATAATGTGTTTTTGAATTCATGATCACGTTAATGTTACGTGATGTTTTAGGGTTGAGGGTCCATCCATGTTAATACTGGCTGTTGACACATATATGTGGAAGGTATTACAGAAGTAATGTGTTATATCTATCCGTTTAGATTCATTGAAAGTGGAGGGTTTGACGACATTAGGGCGCGCATTGCAGTTTAATGTCATTCGTGTACAACGTGTGAAGTAGTGCGGTAAAATCTAGTTCTGTGAGCTACACATAGTTGGATTGTTATGATGAATGGAAGAAGAAAGTATACAGATTACTGTCATTTAGATAATTCCATAGATTTCGGCGAAAAGCGAAGCATTTCCGGTGAAGTAAATTTTACTCACGAAGAGGTTTGTAGTAGAATTCTTGTTTAATAATATTTTCAAAACCTTTTACTTACATACTTTAAGGACTCCATGTAATTGGCATTAGTGTTGCTTCCACCTTTGAAATTTATACATAGCCATATTATTACTGATTGCAGGAAATTGAAAAGTATGAGATTGTGGTGGTCGCCCGTGGCATAACATTTATATAATGTTTATGAAAACCAGTCCAATGGTTCAAGAGTTGAAGATTAGAAGTAATTATATTACCAAAGTAATGCATGACAACTTTTGAAGCAGTGGGAATATGTTGTGACCAAATGTTATGTCTAAGGTGGTGAGATTGACTCCAGACACAAAATCTGTATTTTATTGTTCTTTTAATCATATTTAGTTCTCTCAGAACTCAGTAGAATAAAACATTTTTGGATCTTGGAATTTCAGTTGCATTTTCTTGGTATTTAATACTGTGGTGTGAACTGTTATGCTTCCGGTGAATGTAGAAATTGGTATCTGTAAGTGAAATTGCAGGTATTGCTTTCACATTATGTTAATTTCAACGTTTTCTCTTCTTCAAAATATATTAAAACATACTCAGTACATACTCATGGTTGAGATGGCTGGGGTTTGATCCCAGTCAGACAGCTGTTTTTATACTGCTGAAAGTTAGCTGGATCATAAGGCCAACCACTCACCTCTGTCAGATGCTGGGGTTAAAAACATGACGAGCTTTGCTTTCTTTTTTCACACATGTCTTCTTGTACTGAAAATGGGGCTAGTTTAGCCATTACCTTTATGTGCGTTAAACCTTATTTCCATAAATGCTGTCACTGAAGTTTCATTGTATTTATAAAAATATTTTTGTTATACAAATGAATCTTTCATTATGATACACAATGTTTTCTCATGATTAATAGGAACTTCTTTCTGTATATGCTGTAAGATGATGATCATAGTTGTAAATTCTGAACTTCTGTGAACAATAAACTTTGTAACTGAATGCTAGCTATTACCACATCTAAGTTAATTTCTGTTTCAGGAATCCATTGCCCTGAAACATGGAAACAGTTCATCTATTTATTCTTCCACCAAGGGACATACAGGACTTGGTGTCCTTTCAGCAGCCATTTTTATTGCAGGTGAAATGGCTGGTAGTGGCGTTTTGGCTTTGCCTCGAGCAGTTGTTGATTCTGGTGCGTTATTATGTAAATACCTCTGTCACAAAATCAAGTACTTGTGCCATGTGGGAAATTTTAAATTGTGCTAATTGATCTTCTGCCATAAACCTTGACCTATTTCAGGCATTAGTTCTTTCTTTGTCCATTTTACTAATTGATAGAAATCATTAAAGTGTCCCTCAGATAATCTAAAAGTGAAATATTTTCCTGAATTTAGTTTGTTCCATTTGTTCCGAGTATTAATAAAATTGATCAAAGTAGCCAAATTTTGTATTTTCAGGTTGGCAAGTTCATTATTGGAAAGTAAGGATGCTATATTTGTGTGTGTGGGTGTGTGTATTGAGGTTATTTTGATTGATTTCACTCGCTTAATAAGAACAGCAAAGGGACTTGTGTAATTGAGATGTCATTGGAAAACCAGGCCACAGTCATCCATATGTGGGCATACATGCATAAATACGCAAGAAGCTGTCTGATGATCTAACCCAAATTAATTTGTTTCCCATTTTATGAAACACTGATAACATTTGACATGAATGTAGGAATGCATTAGCATCTCCATAGATTAGTTCCAGGATCCTCAAAACATGATTATCAGGGTCATGGTAGCAATGAAAACTAGTTCAGGATTATTTTATCTGTAGAGTGTAGAGGAGTCCAGACTCTTTAGGTGGCTACCAGTTTAACTAATATTAGTACAAAAATATCAAAACAATGCAATGTTTTCGAATATTTAAAGACAGCAGGTATTTCAAATCTAAAACTTCTTGACGATGGTGAAGAGTCAATTGAATAAAAATTTTCTTGGATATTATCCATCGTCTAGTAAATATAAAACGTAAAACGACGTTTCGGAGATGGGATCCCGATCTCTGGAGATAGGGATTAGCTCTATCTAGTGGGCCCAACTGTGTAGGAACCTGAAGACGGAGATAGAGTCCCATCTCCGAAACGTCGTTTTACGTTTTATATTTACTAGACGATGGATAATATCCAAGAAAATTTTTATTCAATTGACAGCAGGTATTGTTCTTAGTGGAAGAAAATGCTGAGAGATAAAAAGTGAACATCATAATGAACCATTGTTTAGTAACAAACATCTTGTTCATAATCTGTAGCGAGAAGTACATCTGTGTGATGTGGTCAGGTCGTACAATACACAATTTTTTCTGTCTGTTATCAGAGGTTGTCATGGGTCACTGACCATTTCCTTGTAAGAATTACTAAACTTATAGAATCGTAAATTCTTTGTGTAGACAGAAAGTTTTTTAATGCTTGACCTTTGTTCATATTTGTACAGAACATCTGTATGCATGTTGCATCACTCAGCCGTGAGTGTATTATATTTATGATGTGGCTTTTGTTTCATGCCTTATCATGTTTTCCCACTTTCTACCAGTAGCTTATCATAACTGTTTGTGACTTGTATGTGTAAATATCAAAAATCAAACAGAATTTTAATAGGATACTTCAGTATTCATAACTTTGGTCATTTTATGCAACTGGTTCAGGACAGGGTCCATTGGCAGTCTTTTGTGAGCATGGTAATGGACCATCAGATCCAATAAAAGGCAGGAAGTGTCTTGACCAGCTGAACAGGCATCAGTATCACAATGAGGACTCTGTTTCCTGGAGTTACTGTTTAAAGAATTCAACATTTCAAGTCTGTGTGACTCATGGATCAAGATTCATAGTATGTGTGATCTAGTGACTCTTTCTCCTGCCTTTATTTGTCGCCTACTGAACTCTGACTTGTGATTGATCTGTCTGACCTGTACAGCAATAAATGTGTCACTGGGCTGTCCATAATTTTGTCTTTATTAGACAGTAGTGATTGCCACATTCATAGAAATATTGCATATTCTGAGATTTTCTTGTGCATTTGATTTTACAATATAAAATTACAACTGGATCCATATGGAAACATTCTTATATTTAATTGAAATGTTGCCTTATATCATATCTCCCATGAATGCTTCATATCTAACCTGTCTTATCCTTTTGATCATCTTAAATCCATATTGGACACCTTAGTAGTTGGTAAAAATGTCAAATTATGAAGCTTCTCATCATGTAGTTTTATCATAGTAAATAAAAATAAAAGCAAGGAGAAATGAAAAAATAAACTTCAGATTTTTTACATCTCTTTATTCATAAACATATTACTTCAGATAGACTGTTATAATATAATGTAATAATTACTGTACTATATTATTGTATGTTAATGTAATAATTAATGCACTATATTATTGTATGTACTAGGCTGGATTGGACTGGTTCTGATTGTGTATTTCTGCATAAATGCGGGCTATGGAGGAACAAGGCTAGGAGCGTGTTGGGCCATTCTAGAGGAACGGTACCCAGAATACAGAAGCCCTGTAAGAAATCCGTATTCTACAATTGCTTATAGAGCAGTGGGAAGATGGGGCAGGTACACCATTTCTCACTTCCATAAGTGGCAATAACACCAAACACATGATTTCTCTAACACTATTATTGAGGAAGTAAAAATCAAACAAGCATCATATATATTTCTGTTGTTATATGATACTGATCATGGTGTAGTTTTCTTTATTTATTTTGTTGCAACTTACTATACTTGCTTTTATAAGTATGTTTGGTAAATTAATTCATCAACAAGAGGCTTATCTAATTATTTGTTTTTGTATATGGAAGAATTTTAGTGTTGGTATCATATTCTGTGTACAAAATTGAAACTGAGTAAATTATGATATGGCAGTAAAGTTAAATTACCTTTAGTTAAAAAATGAATTCAAATATCACACTTGTAGCTTAAAATTTATATTCTTCATATGTATGTTAGTTGTAATATGTTGTTGATAATTTTAATTTTTCCTTCTTACATTCAGTTTGTTGGTGTCAGGATGCATTCAGTTCACACTTTTTGGGGCTGGCACAGTATACCTGCTTCTTTCATCGCAAATCATTCACGAACTTATTGAAAATATAATACCAGATGTTGGATTCTGCATTTGGTTTTTAATCATTGCTGCATTACTCTGCCCTGTCATGTGGTTGGGAACGCCCAAAGATTTCAGGTATCTGTCACATTATGTCTGTTCTTTTGTTTGTGTGCCTAAAGTAATGACTCTGACATTTTGCAAGGACGTGGTCAGAGTATGAAGCAGAAGTAACATGTCTGGCAAGATGCATGGATAAAATTTATGCAGAAGTATTTTACTACAACTGGTATGCGTATATTATATAACCTGTGTTGTTTCAGTCTGGTGGGTATTGGTGCAATTGTGACAACAGCATTTGCTTGTATCTTCATCTTTGCACAGATTGTCTTGGATGGATCACATTTAATTGAACCTGTGAAACATGATCCCCATGGTTTTAGAAGTTTCTTTCTTGCCTTTGGAACCATCCTATTTGCATTTGGTGGAGCATCTACATTTCCAACCATTCAAAATGATATGGTACAGAAGAACAAATTCTCCGTTAGTGTTGTTATTGGCTTCTCAGGTAACTGTCATTTGATGTTTTTAGAAGTATGTTTCAGGATATCTTAATTTGGTTTTCTGTTAAAGCATTGATTTCTACTTTAAAAAAATATGATAAATATTTGTGAAGGGTATAAAAAATTTATTTAGTGTGAAATGTCCTCAAATTTACCATGTTGTACCATTGAGTTCAAGAATATTAATTTTACTGAAATTTGAATAATTCCTCTTCTTTTTATTTCTTCAGTTATACTGATTTTATACCTGCCAGTGGCTGCTGCTGGCTACTTTGTCTACGGCGAAGCAGTAAATTCGAACATTGTGCTGTCAGTGAAAAACACAAGTTTGGTGATGGCAGCAAACATGCTTTTAGCTATGCATTTGGTCTTGGCATTTATTATAATCATTAATCCAGTGTGTCAAGAACTAGAAGAGATTTTTGAAGTCCCGCATAGTAAGTAAGAGCAATATACTTCATCTGTAAAGTGTGTATAATTTAGTACAGAATCCTTGAAAAAATATGTTACACTGATTCTGTGTAAGTACTGTTTAGAATTCAACTTTGAAACTTGTAAGGAATGCAGACAAGGCACAGTTCCTTCACATTTCCCAAGCTTCTACAGTCAGAGTTGAGTTTCAGACAGTAGCTACCATTATATCAAAAATTCCTGCAACATGTTCATATCAGCTGTGTTTTGTTTTTTTTTGTTTTTGGAGTTTTTGTAGTGTTTACAATTTCTTCCATATGCATAATGGAAGAACTCCTCAGAGTAGACCTGGACAGCTTCTCCGCACTTATAAAAATTATCTCAATATTTTGTAGTTTCCTGAAGATACATAATAAAATGTGTGGGACTGTAACTTATAGAAACAATGCAGTGCGTTGTCATAGGGATGTGAAATATGTAACTTCTTTGATAAATATTTACAAAGTTCATAGTTTTGCTTAAGATACTGTACTTTTTCTTTTCAGAATTCCATTGGAAACGATGCTTAGTTCGGACAGGAATGGTGTGTGTAATGGTATTAGTTGGTGAAAGCATTCCAGAATTTGGGAAAATATTATCGTTAGTTGGCGGTTCTACTATCACTCTTCTTACATTTGTGTTTCCATCTTTCTTTTATATGAGATTATGTGACCAGGAAAAGCAGCAGAATTGGCCTGACAGGTATTTCTGTCTTATTGTACCTATGACATCATCAATCACAGGAGAATTTTGTTGCCTGCCCACTCTTGAGGCTTACCTCATTAAGCTAGGAAAGTAAGAGAATTTACAGCTGAATTTTGTAGTTTATAACTATAAGGCACTAATCCCTTGTAATAAATTGTAAATCTTGGAATAAGATCAGTGCGAGGTCAGAGCAGGTTTCTTGTTTAACCTTGCATGGATGAATTAATGCATGTATCCTTTTTTAAACTAAAATGTCTTTTCATTATATTTTCATTTTGTACTTAACTAGTCGTAGTCGACCACAGAAACGCAAGAATTTTTAATGTTTTTGCAATGCAGGCACTACACTCGCCTGGTCTTGTCTTTCCACGCTTAGTATGCGACTCCCTCACCATCTTTATCCAGTGCTCTCTCACAGTGAATACTCACTGTCCTGGAGCAAGTTTTCAGCTGCCTGCTAGCAATGAAAGTCAGCTGGTTTCCTCGTTATTCATAAAATTGTAAGGGTGTACGCACTATTAACGGGAAATCAAAACTATTTTTTGTTTAATAATTTAAAATTATTCAGATTTTACTGCTTCGAAGGTTTCATTATTAACTGCAAATTAATTGACTCTTGAATCGTCTGCATCAAGAAGCATACAAAATAATATGTTCTTGGATAGGGGCTGATGATAACTTCTGACTGAATTATAATTTTGGTTATCTGGTAACAATGTAATGAGGCTTGACTGTTTATTTGTTATACCTGGAACAAGACTTGGCATGTTTTCTTGTTTGCAGGAACATACCGGCATACATCCGGGTCTACCTGTGGGAACTAATACTTATAGGTTTTGTTGGTGGCTCAGCATCCACATACAGTGCAATTCTGGAGATATTTGGAGAATATTCAGTGACAAAACCATGTTTCTTTAATTGATTTTTATTCATTCATAGTTATTATTGATTAATTTAAAACAATCTGTTATGTGTAATGAGAACATACAGTGTGCTGGTATAACTTACTTTGATAATGGCATATAACTTCCTGTCTTTGCAGTGTAGTATTTTTTTGTCAAAGTGACTCCATTTGTCATGTACTCAAATAACAATTCTTCAACTTAAAAAAAGTAGCATTATGAGCTTTCAGAAGGTCATGAATCCTATTAATAAACCAGTATGCCCTAATATTATTGTATGTTTGTACATCATAGTTGAAAAAGGCAGTAACGCACCTTCCATAATTTGAATTCACTGATTATGTCACATTATGTCTGTTCTTTTGTTTGTGTGCCTAAAGTAATGACTCTGACATTTTGCAAGGACGTGGTCAGAGTATGAAGCAGAAGTAACATGTCTGGCAAGATGCATGGATAAAATTTATGCAGAAGTATTTTACTACAACTGGTATGCGTATATTATATAACCTGTGTTGTTTCAGTCTGGTGGGTATTGGTGCAATTGTGACAACAGCATTTGCTTGTATCTTCATCTTTGCACAGATTGTCTTGGATGGATCACATTTAATTGAACCTGTGAAACATGATCCCCATGGTTTTAGAAGTTTCTTTCTTGCCTTTGGAACCATCCTATTTGCATTTGGTGGAGCATCTACATTTCCAACCATTCAAAATGATATGGTACAGAAGAACAAATTCTCCGTTAGTGTTGTTATTGGCTTCTCAGGTAACTGTCATTTGATGTTTTTAGAAGTATGTTTCAGGATATCTTAATTTGGTTTTCTGTTAAAGCATTGATTTCTACTTTAAAAAAATATGATAAATATTTGTGAAGGGTATAAAAAATTTATTTAGTGTGAAATGTCCTCAAATTTACCATGTTGTACCATTGAGTTCAAGAATATTAATTTTACTGAAATTTGAATAATTCCTCTTCTTTTTATTTCTTCAGTTATACTGATTTTATCCCTGCCAGTGGCTGCTGCTGGCTACTTTGTCTACGGCGAAGCAGTAAATTCGAACATTGTGCTGTCAGTGAAAAACACAAGTTTGGTGATGGCAGCAAACATGCTTTTAGCTATGCATTTGGTCTTGGCATTTATTATAATCATTAATCCAGTGTGTCAAGAACTAGAAGAGATTTTTGAAGTCCCGCATAGTAAGTAAGAGCAATATACTTCATCTGTAAAGTGTGTATAATTTAGTACAGAATCCTTGAAAAAATATGTTACACTGATTCTGTGTAAGTACTGTTTAGAATTCAACTTTGAAACTTGTAAGGAATGCAGACAAGGCACAGTTCCTTCACATTTCCCAAGCTTCTACAGTCAGAGTTGAGTTTCAGACAGTAGCTACCATTATATCAAAAATTCCTGCAACATGTTCATATCAGCTGTGTTTTGTTTTTTTTGTTTTTGGAGTTTTTGTAGTGTTTACAATTTCTTCCATATGCATAATGGAAGAACTCCTCAGAGTAGACCTGGACAGCTTCTCCGCACTTATAAAAATTATCTCAATATTTTGTAGTTTCCTGAAGATACATAATAAAATGTGTGGGACTGTAACTTATAGAAACAATGCAGTGCGTTGTCATAGGGATGTGAAATATGTAACTTCTTTGATAAATATTTACAAAGTTCATAGTTTTGCTTAAGATACTGTACTTTTTCTTTTCAGAATTCCATTGGAAACGATGCTTAGTTCGGACAGGAATGGTGTGTGTAATGGTATTAGTTGGTGAAAGCATTCCAGAATTTGGGAAAATATTATCGTTAGTTGGCGGTTCTACTATCACTCTTCTTACATTTGTGTTTCCATCTTTCTTTTATATGAGATTATGTGACCAGGAAAAGCAGCAGAATTGGCCTGACAGGTATTTCTGTCTTATTGTACCTATGACATCATCAATCACAGGAGAATTTTGTTGCCTGCCCACTCTTGAGGCTTACCTCATTAAGCTAGGAAAGTAAGAGAATTTACAGCTGAATTTTGTAGTTTATAACTATAAGGCACTAATCCCTTGTAATAAATTGTAAATCTTGGAATAAGATCAGTGCGAGGTCAGAGCAGGTTTCTTGTTTAACCTTGCATGGATGAATTAATGCATGTATCCTTTTTTAAACTAAAATGTCTTTTCATTATATTTTCATTTTGTACTTAACTAGTCGTAGTCGACCACAGAAACGCAAGAATTTTTAATGTTTTTGCAATGCAGGCACTACACTCGCCTGGTCTTGTCTTTCCACGCTTAGTATGCGACTCCCTCACCATCTTTATCCAGTGCTCTCTCACAGTGAATACTCACTGTCCTGGAGCAAGTTTTCAGCTGCCTGCTAGCAATGAAAGTCAGCTGGTTTCCTCGTTATTCATAAAATTGTAAGGGTGTACGCACTATTAACGGGAAATCAAAACTATTTTTTGTTTAATAATTTAAAATTATTCAGATTTTACTGCTTCGAAGGTTTCATTATTAACTGCAAATTAATTGACTCTTGAATCGTCTGCATCAAGAAGCATACAAAATAATATGTTCTTGGATAGGGGCTGATGATAACTTCTGACTGAATTATAATTTTGGTTATCTGGTAACAATGTAATGAGGCTTGACTGTTTATTTGTTATACCTGGAACAAGACTTGGCATGTTTTCTTGTTTGCAGGAACATACCGGCATACATCCGGGTCTACCTGTGGGAACTAATACTTATAGGTTTTGTTGGTGGCTCAGCATCCACATACAGTGCAATTCTGGAGATATTTGGAGAATATTCAGTGACAAAACCATGTTTCTTTAATTGATTTTTATTCATTCATAGTTATTATTGATTAATTTAAAACAATCTGTTATGTGTAATGAGAACATACAGTGTGCTGGTATAACTTACTTTGATAATGGCATATAACTTCCTGTCTTTGCAGTGTAGTATTTTTTTGTCAAAGTGACTCCATTTGTCATGTACTCAAATAACAATTCTTCAACTTAAAAAAAGTAGCATTATGAGCTTTCAGAAGGTCATGAATCCTATTAATAAACCAGTATGCCCTAATATTATTGTATGTTTGTACATCATAGTTGAAAAAGGCAGTAACGCACCTTCCATAATTTGAATTCACTGATTAATCACTGATAGTTTTATTCAACATGTGTTATGTTTTATTTTCATATACCTGCACACTAACAGGGCAAGGATTTATATGAAGATGAGCTGAATGTGGAGTTTGATGCTGGTCTACTGGGTTGCTGTGTGGATTTCTAGATAGACACCAACATTTTGGAGGAACATACTGCCTCCATCTTCAAGTCAGAAGATGGCAGTATGTTCCTGAGAGACAAATGTACCCACCTACAAATCCAAGCAGTGTTATAATTCCCTTTAATGGTATGATTGTAATTTTGCATAAATGTTGGGTTTAAAGGAGATCTTTTAGTTAAGTGCCATACCTACATTAGGAAATAAACTGAACTTGAGTTTCTGACTGCACCAATACCTATATTTCTTTCTCCCAAGGAGTTACAGATCACCTGTAATATTATCTGATTTAAGGTGGGTTCATTGGCTTTAAACCAGTTGTTCAAGTTACCAAAGACATTACTACTGGAATTCTGAAAATAGCCACTATTAGAATGATAGATAATACCAGTATTATCATCAAATAGTATAGGCTTTGACAGAGAATTGATTATTTGGGGTAGATTACTGATACATGAGACAAAGAGGACCAATTATAGAACCTTGAGGAAGCCCATGTTTTACAATGCTGGGGTTTCAATGTGAGTTGGGGGTTTGTATTATAAATAGCACGTTTTAACAACAAATTTGGACAAGAAAAATGTTCCCTATCATAATCACAAAAAGTGAGTTCTGACAGACTGAGCCCCATTATGTTATTTACATAACCCTTGCATTACTATGCTATGACCAACACAGCCAAACCCATTCCTAAGATCACGTTTGCACGATCCCATCCGTTATGGAACGTTGGTTGCTGCTTCCGTGTTTAAAACGTGACACTCTCTGCCAGCGATCCGGGGACTTTCCTCAAGACAGTTGAGCTACAAAGAGCTCTGGGTGTAGTCTCGAAGCAAGGATCGACAGAACTCACCCAACGTTGCTTTACGAGTCAGTAATATATACTTATGAAGTTGGAGATAATTGCATCTACAGTCTATAATAATCAAGATGTATTTTAAAAATTTATGGTGATGATAATACTTCCCATGTTTCAACCGTAAGCTCAGTTGATTTTTTTACGTTAAGTAAGAACTGTATTAATATCCCGTACAGAATTAAATGTGTCATATTCACGATTCGGCACAGTTGGGCTTGATTCATTTTATAGACATCGTGAAAATACCACATAAAATTTGACTTTTCATCTCGGCTTGGTTGTATGATTTTTTAATAAATTAATTTTTGTCGTTTTATTTGTGGCTCTGTGGTAGTCTTCTCTGTGTCAAGTTGACGTTTTGTGTTGTAATCCTTGTATTGAACTGAATTAATTTTGTATAGTGTCATGCAGGAGCCTGTTTCTGTGTAATGCAATGAATAACTTCGCTATTGGATTTAATAGTGACAGTTTACCGTCTTGTCTGTCACGAGTCAAGTAAGATTTTGTTGAAGTGTTTCATAAATGACAACTCCATTCACATTTCACTTTCATATTGATCAGCATTGACTTGGACACCAAGACAGACAGACATTATGAAGTGCCATAGGTATTTCGAATTGAGTATTTCCGGAAGTTCGTAATAGTGTCCGATATGATGTTAATTAGTTTGGTTTGTAGTATAGAATAGAACATATTTACATTCCATATATCCTTCATAGCCACAAGTCAAGGATATAAAACGTATCATAGCAACTCTATTCTGTCCTGTTTTGAGAAAGTTTTCTTGTTATTGTCCACAGTTTATGAAGTTGAATACATGGATTTGCTTGCTCAAAGCTATTTCAAGCATATGAATGTAGTCAGCAGTCTGGTTGAAAGCATGTTCAGTTTTTCTTGGTGGTATGGGTCAATATGAGTAACTCTTTCACATTTAAGCCAAACAGATTTATGTCAATTTTATTTGACATCATGGCAGAAATTGAGAATAAATAGTCAGAATTACCTTCTCTGTTTATCCCCAGTACATGCCAGACAGATATCACTTGTGTTACTTGTTTTGTGATGCCAGTGCAGACGTTAGAACCAACGACAAACTGAAGCTTCATATGTGCAGAGGAAATGTGGAGAGGTTTGATGGCACCAAGAATAAGTGAATAACAGTAATGAAATTGCACAACTCTTTTTGTACATTAGTGTCCTTCAAAGTGTGTAACATAGTTGAGAATATTGTGTGAAACATGTGATGTAAAATTTTATATACTTTGGGGCTCTTTTGTCATGTATGTTTGCAGAAAATCTTTTTATCTTTTAGATATATGGGAATTAGTTACGTAGCTCCTGGAAGGGGAGGAGGTGGTGAAAGGGGACATGGCAGAATGTAAGTTATCACTGACTATGTTGAAAATATCCCAGAACCAATCATTGTTAGGAATTGAAACTTTATAAATCTCATAAATATTGATTGGATTATAAAACTACCAATGTTTTCAGTCTTTTTATATAAATTTTATTATTTTATGTTTAAAATGCATGTTTTTTTACAGCAAGCCAAGAACCAGCAGGCACTGGAGTCACTGCAAGTGATACTATTGGTGGTAAGAAACACTTGTTATAATTTTTTATTTGTGCATTACTCCTTGTTTGAATTTGTCTTGGAGTGGCCAACTTTATGTTTAGGGTTTAACCTTTTATTTTCTGTTCTATGCATGTTTTGGAAAATTTTCTTTCAGAAAATATAAGTGGTGAAATGGTGAGCTTTCCTGTAGTGTGTGGTTCGTTAATTTACAAGTAATATCTGAAATGAAAGTCATATTTGAAGAAAGTTAGACAATGTGAATGTTACTAGTGGTTATTGCAAACTAAACTAATATTTGTGTTAGAAAAACAGGCACAAAATCACATTCACACTTCACTTTGTAGATGAGAAGGAAAGAGAAATAAAATGTGAAGATGTAGAGTGGATTTATCTAGCTCATGATAGGTTCCACTGGCTGGCTGTTGTGATTGCTATTATGTTCTTTAAGGTTTCAATAAAGAGCAGGGATTTTCTTGACCGATTGATTGTTAGTTTCTTGGGAAGGACTCTGCCCCACAGAGTTAGTTATTGATTGTCAGAGCGACACTTGTGTGTTTGTGGAAGAATAGCCTGCATAGTGAAGTCCAGTTTCAGTATTAATCAGGTTATGGGATAATAAGGCTTACCGAATAGGGGCTTCTGTCACATTGTTCTCTTTTGAAGTGTTGGTGTGTGACTGTAAACGTAGAGAATGCAGATTTGATGAGGGACATCGTTCCTGTGTCTTGTGTAACGGATTGTACAGTATGTGAACATTATGAAAAATAAACAATTTGTTTGCTTGTTACACACAGTTCATTAATAGGTAAGGAGGACATGTCCACCATTAACTGTAATTGCTGTATAATTCCTAGCAGTACAGAATTATAAGGGCATTTAGATTGGAATTTGGAAGAAATGTGTGTATTCTGGTATAGATTTTTACAGCTTTCCAATCTTTGCTACAAGGTACTACTGAGTACATGTACATGTACACAAGTAAATAGTGAAGATTGTTACCAAGGCTTATTTTGTAGTTTTCATTTGCACAACAGATGGTATGCTGTACTTCCTCAATTTTTCACTGTTTTCATTTGTTCTCTGCAAAATAAATACAACACTGAAGTGATGCATGCAGAAATAGTAATGTCTGTAGCTGATTAGATTAGAGTTATCTAAGTAAATTATGTTAAAGCGAAGTGTATGCTAGAGACTATCTGTACACAGATAGTACATCAGGGGTAGTGTTCAGTGTTATACATGGATAAGAAGTGTCGTGTGTTATATTCTGTTCCTATAGTCATTTGATTTCATGGTTGTGTTATTAATAGATGGGCATATCAAGTCAGGATGAAAGAAACTGAGAATATTTGTAACTGGTGTGAATCAGATACTTAAGTAGTCTGCAGTAATAATGATACAGCATAATACAGAAAGTTTGAATGCTGACAGACATTGTAAACATGCCCTGTATTTTAAGGAGATGAATTTAGTGTATGTAAAAATTGTTTCTGTCAAAGTTTGTGGTACCAGTTTCCAAACCCAGAGAGACCTTTTTTTAACTGCAACATAAAATTCACCAAAATTTACCTTGTGCAATGGACTGATTGATGATGAAAAGATCAGTCAATGGTTTTGGGGTCAGCATATTGTGATTCTTTTGGTTTTGTTGGCAGCCCTGTTTAATATGACCTGTTACCATTTGGAAGTATCTATATATAATTGTTAATAAATATGAGTAATATATGTCAGTTGATGTTAAAAATACATTTTGAAAACAAGTATGTGATTTTATAATAATTATAGTTAGGTTAGGTTAGGAAAGGGGGGGGGGAGGTGGTGATTATGAGATTGAGTTTGCATTAACTAAGTTCGTAACTCTACAATGCAGAGTCTTTCCTGAGAAGCTAGTGTAATGCTCAGTCAGATTCCATGCTTTTATGGAACCGGAAGGTTCATTACTGTGTTCACTAGATCTCATCAATGGTCCTTATGCTAAGTCAGATGAATCCAATCGACACCCTTCAAACCTATTTCCCTGAGGTTCTTGATTTCAGAATTGTTATAAGAATTTGAACTTAACTAGTACGTGGGGTGAAATGGACTAAGTATTACGTGATTGTGTGAAACCTTGCAGAAGTTTCTGAGAGTGGGCCCTCTGTTGCTGGCATAACTCCTGACACTGACTTGGTGATTCATGAACTGAATCCTAGTGCGCTGTTGGATGCTGCTGACCGCGGTTCAACAGGACATGTTGTGGAAGGGAGCAGAGCAACAGGCTCTGATATCAGTGCAACCGTAACCGTTACTGCTGCATCAGGTGATAAATCTTATCACTAAACAATTTATTTAAGTGAAAATCAGTGCATAAATGTCTTCAGTAATTAGTAATTTGTTTATAGTACTGATTCATTTTACTTGTCTCAAATCAATTTCAGGTAGTGACAGCGTGAGATCTGGGAGTGCAAGTGGCACAGTGCTGCCGTGGGGCGCGCACAAGGAGCGGTCCCCATACCCAGCCTGTGTCCACATAGACATGGACATCAGACCGGGAGAGTTTGTTATGCGCACCCTTTTTGCTGAGTTCACTGTTCAGGCAGAAAAGAAAATGGAAGCTGTGATGGCTGAACCACTGGTACTGAATGTACTTTGTTTCTGTCTTGAAATAATAAAGATGATGGTGTTGGTGATAATGATAACAAGATGATGACGATGATAATAATAGAGATTCGTTGATGGGTGTATAAATGGAATTGAAGCAATATGAATGTAAATTGTTTGTTTACTTGGTCAGTCAGCATTTCCAGTTTAGCGAAATATCCAATTGCATTTTTATATTCATTGTTTGTAGTGAATTTAAATGCGCTCCTGCTGCTAAAGTTATTTATGGAGTTTAACAATATGCTTACAGTTTTTGTTTGTTTATCTTGTTAATCTCTTCCTGAATTACTTATGCACTGTAATTTGTAATCAATCAAACCTGTATAGGCTCTGATCATAATGTTTCTGACAACACACGCTAGTCTTTTGTATTACAGGAGCGGCCATTGTCCAAAGTTCTGCAGAGGGGAGAAGATTCACAATTTGACCAGTTGTTAAGTGCATTTGGTTCAGTAGCTGAACACTGCTTGCCATCCATTCTTCGTGCTCTGTTTGCATGGTATGAAAGGCAGATGGTGGATGGAGGAACAACTGAGCAGAGGAAGGTGGACTTGAAAGGGAAAAGGTGAAATATTTTAAGAGTGATTGTCGCCATGTTCTTATGTGATCAACTAATTGCGTGGAACAGAGTTCTTGAAATGCTTTTGTCACTTAATTGGTTAAGAATTTCTTTGTGCAGGGTTCTCATGATGGTGTACTACAATCTTGATTGTTAGGTTATTGGACCTTGTCCATCATCCTGTATTATAAAATTACATGTTTTGGTGACTGGATCTGCACTCATCTTCAGGGGTTGTAAAAGCGAAGGGAACCTACTCTGTAGGGTCCATTAGATTGAACTAATCTCAATAACTGGCCAAGGTTCACTCCTTGAAATGAGTAATTTTTAACACCAGATGATGGACAAAGTCCAGAAACCTAACAAACCAAGAATTTCATTGCTTTTTATGGAATCACCTAAGGGTTATTATTGCATTTGATAAACAAATAAGATAATATGTAAAAAACTAAGACAATGGGATTCACTGTAATTGGTGAATATTCTGATACTGTTTTTTAAATAAATTATGAGAAACCCTGAATTAGATTGAGGTTTGTATGGTGGTATTACCAGTTTTGGCAGTAGATATACATGTTTTGTGTTGCAACATGGATTGTTTCTAAATGAATCGTCTGACTTTCCAGCACAGAAAATGTGGAACGCAGTGAGGCGGATACTCTTCAAGAACGGCGGGATTTAGCAGTGGAATTTATCTTCTGTCTTGTGCTGATAGAAATCTTACGTCAACTGTCTTTTCATCCTGGACAAGATGATCTTGTTACATACATAGAGAACCTAGCATTCAAGCACTTTAAGTACAGGGAAGGGTAAATATACTCACCAGATTGATAGCCATAGCTGTTATTATGGTAGCAGTTATAATTTTAATTAGTGTATATGTATATATAGATCTTTGGAACCTAGTCTGAAAATTTGTGTGTTAATGTGTCATAGAAATGATACTTTTGAGTATGGAAATGTATCTTCATTTCATAGACATTAATAGCCTTAGGTGTTGACAGGTTTCTGTATTAATTAATTTTTCTTAAATTTTGATGGAATTTTTCAGAATTCAGAGTGGACCAAATGCAGCAAACATACACATTATAGCTGATTTATATGCAGAAGTTATCGGAACTTTGGCCCAGTCTCGATTCATGTCCGTTCGCAAGAGATTCATGGCTGAACTGAAAGAACTGAAGAGCAAGGAACCAAATCCAAACACAACGCAGAGCATCATTTCGCTGCTCATGGGCATGAAGTTTTTCCGAGTAAAGGTACAAAGAAAGTTTCGTGGTGCGTTGTGGCGTTGTCTGCTGAGCAGATTGAAATTTTGTGTTCTAGGAACGCTTGCTAACACTGCCTTCGGTATTTTTTGTCTTTGTCTGCTATCCAGAAAAATTAAAGAATAAAATAGAAAACTGTAACCGCACCTTATATGTTTGTGAAGTGTGGTTTAGTAGGAGGTGAGGGTGTAGATGGATTATTAATTAATAA